AGAGAGAGAGGGGTATATGTATGTAGACATGGCAACCTTAATAGATATAACCCTCTTTCAGAGCTCATATATAGGATCTATCTAAACCGTATAAACCCTAAACCAGACCCTATAAACCCTAAACCCTTTGACACCTAAACCCTAAACCCTAAATACAGAGAGCATCTGCAATGCTGAAAAGATTGTTATCGGGCTTGTAAGCTCAATCCCGATAAACCTCATAAAAAGCCTATAATTGCCTATAATTCCTGTAAACCCTATATAAACCCTGGAAATTTTCAAAGACTTAAACCCTAGTCAGGTATGTACGTCTTATTCCTTATAAAGGTAGCAACTCTGTACATCAGAGCACACGTGCCAACGACAGGCCAGCATCCTGATGCATCAAATTTGCAGACGGGGGCTTAAGACTGCAAAGTTGTAGCTCGTAGCTTAACCACGGGCCACCAATCACAAAAGGGGCTCGATCAGCTGGCGTGCTCCTCGTCGCCCTTCTTCTCCTTCTTGGCTCGCACAACTTTCTTGAAGTGTGTCCTCGATTGCTGAGGTGCTTCATTCATCGGCAGCAGCAGCCCACGATGAGGCGTGCACGTGTTTCCTGCTTATTCTGAGCTAAGTTTCTTGACAACATTGTACTTGTTGTCGAAGTCGACACAATGGGATTCCATTGCGGAGGCATCGGCCTTGTAGGCATCTGGCCTCGATTCAATTACAACATGGCTTCTAAATTTTACAGGTAGCACTTATCGCTTGCACACATTCCGAACATACAACTATATATAGTCTGCATTGTCTACTTCCTTTTGAGGGTCTCTTGTACGATCCTATTATACCTAGTAAATGTGCTTAAACGACTAGATATATGGTTGTATATATATATATATATAACAGCTCAATCGAATCTAGGCGGGTTTCATGCTTCGAGGGTGTGGCGGCATGGGCTATGGAGACACACAAAGATTGCTTGGGCGGCTGATTGATTGGATGATTGGTCCATTGACATACTGTCTAATTGGGGATGGGCACCTTTCGAGTTCGTCAGATTGCTTAAGGGGTTTTTATGTGGGGCCCAAGGCTTGCACCAACAACGTCAGCTGACAAGAAAGGACCCCCAAGGCTTCTTGCACTCTACACACACACACATAGAACAGATGACCAGGGTACTCTTTCTTCATGTCACCCATCTCCGTCTTGCAGATCTTGTCGTACACCCGAACGATGTTATCTGCGGCGATGGAGGCACGTATTGCTGGTCTTTAAGGGTTGTTGACGGTTTCTGTGTAGGGGGTGGGTTGCGGGGAAGACACACCCCTGCACCTCACAGAAACAAAAACGCCTATGTAGGGTCCTTTACCAGGTAGGTAGAGTTTAGATAGGGCTTAGGGGTTGCAGGGGTATTGTTGTGTCATATAGGGTTGTGGGGATTCAAGTGCCCTCCTATAACCCGACACAGGCACACCCTTAGCACGAGACTAGTGGAAACTCTATATATGTAAGAGTTTATAGAGCAGGCTATACACCTTATATAGGGCGAGATACTATAAGTACTGCATGTTGCTTTACGACCCGAGGCTCCTTGCAGGGTTCTTCGTGCGTGCAAAGGCTCTTGGCTTTGGGTTTAGGGTTTAGGG